TTTATTTAATTTTATTGTTTTCTTTTTTTATTCTATTAATTTTTACTGGACGGGACGGGACAAAGTGTGGCTACGTGTGGACAAAGCTTCAACGCTTTCTCCTTTTGTTCCAGTGGGTAAACTCATCTGGAACAGCTGTCTGTTAGAGGTTTTTAGACCGTGGAAGGCAAAGATCCTCCATCAGGTGGAATAAACCTCCACAAATCTACCTGGAAATCAGACAACACGACAGTTCAGAACCTGCCTGAGAGTCTTTCCTTCAGTGGTCCGGTGCTGGTCGTCCATAAATCCATGATACGCTGCTCAAAGAATTCAGCTGCTTTATTTACCAAATATAAATACACACAGAGTCAAACTCCCCGTATCCATGGCGACATAATGCCTCCTGCTTGTGTAAAAGTTCACACAGTCGAGTCTTTTATCGTCGACTCTGTTCATATTTAGACTCGGCGTCAAACCAAAGAGCAGATAAAAGAGAATTATCTCAGGCAGCGCTGAAATGTTTGCATCTGCTCAAACAGTGATGTTTCTTTCTCATGATTACCAGATGAGGCCTCCAGTTTTTTTTGTTTGTTTTTTGTTTTTCTGTGGTGAATGCATCCTGAATGCTAGAAGCCAAAGAGAGTCACATCAGCATCATATGACGGAGAATACTTGTGGATCTTCTAATGATTAAGAAGCCGAAATCAGAGAAACATTTAAGTTTTTTTCTTGAAAAACTGTTGACAAAAAATAGCTTGTAACCAGTCGACAGTCGAAGATGTTGGCACATTTAAGGAGCCAAAGCCGTTATTGGTCATTAAAATAGCTGCTGGTTAACTTTCAGCTGATCAAACGGTGTCTTTGAAGCGTCTGATCCCAGACGAGACTCCCACAGCGTTTTAAATTCACCCTACAGGTCTCGTTTCTTCACCATCAGATGATTCACTACCTGCTTCAGTCATTATGAAGGTCTCCGAATCAGGGCAGACCACCTCCACAGGCGTAGAACAGACCCAGACGGACGTAGTTTAAACAGAGCTGAACAGAGCTGTTGCCGAGTTTGATCAGATTCTTAGATGGCCTCGAGTGTTGATCAAATAATCATCTGACACATTTAAAAAGCTGCTTGATTCAAAACTGAAGCTGAATGAAAGTTCAGATCCACCGATGTCTCTGTTTGACTGCAGAAGTGTGACAGAGCTCGTCCTCCTTCACAGAGCATCTTTGGTGAGAGCCGTTTATCACTTCTGGGATTTTTGACGAACTCTAAACTGAATGAGCATCAATATTATTGACGACATGTATGTGGTGGAGCTGAGCAGTGGGCTGGTGCCGTCCTGAACCTGAATAGTGTCGGTGCTGATATCCAAATGTCAGAGATGGTTGACACTGAGTGGGTGAAACCGCTGCACAGTAAGGGTATGTGCTGTTATCAGTTCACACTTTACTCAATCTGAGCAGCTCAATGTTTTTTTTTAGTGTTTCTTTTGTGCAGGAAACACACTGATTCATGTTTGTCCTTCATCACTGCAGCTCAGCCACAGATTAGAAACTAATCTGACTCGGCTAGATTAGATTTGTGTCGCTCATGCTTCTCGGCCTGATAGATGTCAAAGTAGTTTCAAACTTGAGTTTGAGTGTTGAACGGCGATAAAGATTCCCCCTCACCATACAAACTACAGACACAAGTAACCGAAGAGAGCAAACGAAGCTAAATTGTGAAAATAATTGTACAGATGTTTGATTAGTTCTTTTTCTGGCTCAATTCATAATCCGGTGAGTGAAGAGGTCAGAGGTGGATTGAGTGTTCAGAAATCCCCTGAGTTCTGTTCTCAGGAGCAGATGTGTTTGTGCTGACAGTAGTTTGATGAAACAGGAGCCGAGAGTCTGAAGTCGCATCTCGTAATGATTCAGGTCTGATCTTGATGAGTCATTACAGGACAGAGAGCTCGCTGAGTACAAGCAGCCGAATGTTATGAAATACTCTGCGATGCAATAAAAGTCAACCACAGAGAAACCTCACAGCAGAAAGAATGCGGCCGTTGACTGTCTTCCTCTGTTGTCTGCAGGGCGATGGCGAGGCCGAGCCACAGCGATCACGTCCTCCAGCAGCTCAACAACCAGCGGGAGTGGGGCTTTTTGTGCGACTGCCTCATCGCCATAGGTGACATCTACTTCAGGGCACACAAGGCTGTCCTGGCTGCCTGCAGCTCCTACTTCAGGATGATGTTCATCCGGGACCAGCAGGGGGCAGGCCGTCTGGACCTCAGCAACATGCAGATCAGCGCTGAGTGCTTCGACCTCATCCTGCAGCTCATGTACCTCGGGCGCATTGTTGTGGGGAGCTACGAGTTTGAGGAGCTCAAGGCCTCCATGGCGTACCTGCAGATGTACTACATCCCTGACTCGCTGGAGGACCTCAGGGACATCAGGAGCTCCAACATCACCCCGTCCTCCTCATCCTCTTCGTCCTCCTCGTCCAGTTCCTCCACTGGACCCGCCGGTGGGAAGATGATGTTTGGAGTCCGCATGTATGAGCAGCAGCGACCTGCTGCCCCAGAGGGAGAACGTTTACCAAAACCTGTCAGCAGCAGCGCTGGACGTCCAGCTGTTCCAGCAGCTGTCACCAGGCCGGTGGTTGCGGAGGAGGTGGTGACTGCTCCTCTGATCGTGGCTCCGCCAGTAGCAGATGGAGCAGTCGAGCAGCCATGTGACTTGAGAAAGAGGTCCGGCGGCAGAAGTTCAACTATCAAAGACCGTCCTAGGTTCGGCCGCACCTACACCTGCGATGACTGTGGCTTTGTCTTTAGCTGCGAGAAGCTTTTAATCGAACACATCCTGACCTGCACGAACCGGAAGGCCTACCATCCACCCAGAGGTAACGTGGAAGGTGACAATGACTCCAGTAAAGCTGAGAGCTCTGCCTCCGAGAGCATAGAGGAACACAGGGTCATCTGTAAAGGCGAGGATGACTGGCCTGAGGCCAAGGCCGACTCCGACCTCAGGTCGGTGGCAGCTGGAACAGATGGCGAGCCTGGGTCAACCAGGAGCATCAAGACAGAACCGGAAGAAAGCATGTTCCCGGAGATTGAGGTGGTCCGGGTTGGTGAGCACACGGCCAGAGACTGTAACACACGATTCAGTGACGCCACACGTAAAGACATGCTGCGGGAGAAGACGGGACCGGACCGTGAACCAGAGCCTGGCGTCTCAGGTTTGGAGAACAGCAGCGAGCCTTTTGAAGGCCAGATGTCAAGCAGCGATGATTCAGGAATCCCTGCTAAGCTTCGTAAGGTCAAAGATGAGAAGCAGGACCCGGACTGTGCCCCCTGTGAACTGTGTGGTGCTCTGCTGACGGAGGAGGACAAGTCGGCCCACTACCTGTCCAACCACATGGGCCACATATGTGCCTGTGGGAGGTGCGGCCAGGTGCTGATCAAAGGCCGGCAGCTCCAGGAACATGCAGAGCGCTGCGGCGAATCCCACGGCGGTGAGTCGGACTCCCACGGAGAGGACGAGGCCTCCCTGCTGGAGGAGCCGCAGGGGATGGAGGAGGGTCTGCTGGAGGCGGCTGACCTGGCCTGCCCTCACTGCGGCCTGCTGTTCCAGAACGAGAGCCTGGCGCTGGAGCACGCCTTGACCTGCCACGACCAGGAGCTGTTTCGCCCAGTGATGCTGGAGGAGGGCGGCGAACCCGATCACCGCCGCAAACACTTCTGCAGCATCTGCGGCAAAGGCTTCTACCAGCGCTGCCACCTGCGGGAGCACTACACTGTCCACACCAAGGAGAAGCAGTTCACTTGTCAGACCTGCGGGAAGCAGTTCCTGCGAGAGCGCCAGCTCAGGCTGCACACCGACATGCACAAAGGCATGGCACGCTACGTGTGCCCGGTCTGCGACCAGGGAACCTTCCTGAAACACGACCACGTTCGACACATGATCTCCCACCTATCAGCCGGGGAAACCATCTGCCAGGTGTGTTTCCAGATCTTTCCTGGCGGAGAGCAGCTGGAGAAACACATGGACGTCCACCTGTACATCTGCGGCGTCTGTGGAGAGAAGTTCCGCCTCCGTAAAGACATGAGGAGCCACTATAACTCGAAGCACACCAAGAGACTATAGGAACGATCCAAACGTCCTCAGCATTTATACTAGTTTGTTACTAAAAGCCATAAATGTGAGAACAAATTATGCACTTGAACACCAAAAAGACAACTTTTAAATCTGCACTTTTAAAGTATATGCATAACCTAAACAGGCATTCACACTGCGAGCAGCGCGGCTGGTGATTGGTTGCTCTGTTGTTACTGATGGTGGGCTGAACTTCTGATTGCAGCCTTGATTGAAACTTTTTTTACTTGTTGAGATTCAGTCAGGTGACGGGAAGTCGACATGGTGCTGAAACGAGCTCCCACTGCTTTGAATCAGGATTGTACAAGAAGTTTCCTTCCTGAAAAGTCAGAATCTGTTTGTGTTGATAAAATGGTCACACGAGGCGAGAAACAATCAAGTTTAGAAAGCTGATGGTGGAGGCGGACACCCGTCAGGCTGACTACATGTACGTTTTTACAATATTTATGAAGAAGCTGGAATTTTATATGCAGTAAAAGATACGTGTGATTTTTTATATTTCAGGTCATTTGCCAGCGTCAGTGTTTTGTTCCCAGATTCCAAAAAGATTCTTTAAGCCGTCCAGAACCAGAAATAAAACAAGAGCTGGAACCATTTAGCAAATTGTTTACAATTATCGTTCTGTCAGAAATGTACCAAAGTTGAGTCGGCAGGTGGGGAGGTTCCCAGCTCACCTCTCCACCTGTTTGTTCAGTCGTGTTGCTCACAGTGTGAACTTGCAGTAAGACCGGCAGTGAACTCCAAAAAATAAAAAAAAGAAAACTGACGTGTCTTCAGCCACTTCTGGCTTTGTTTTTCACGGGTCTTTAGCAGACAGAGGAGCCACAGAGTGCAGAATATTGAACTACTACAACCAGAGGGAGTTCAAATAATGAATGAAATTTGTTGTACCCGTGAGAAGACGCCCAGTTGAGTTTGTTTTTGGAGTGAACTCCCTGTTTCAGAGGGTTGCGGTGCCTCAAACTTTGAGTCGACCTTTTCTAGCATTGATGTCAACTTTTTTTTTTTTTTTCCCAGAATACTAAAGTCCCTGAAGATGAAACACGGTGAGATTTTCATGTCGTAGTTAGCGAGCACAAGACTGCATTTTGCTTTACGAGTCTTTTTTTTTTTTTTGTGATTTTTCGGTTACTGTGCAGCTTCACGTTCAGCACTCGCTGTCGACATGCTCTGTGATTGGTGCCTTTACTGTAACACTTTTTCCTTCTTGTCTTATTCACAGTGATGCATGATGGGGGTGGACAGGCACAGCTAACGAACCCCTTCCCCCCCACCTCCCATTCAAAGTGAATCTATAAATGAAAAAGTTCAGAAAACAAAACACTAGAAGCAGTCAGCTCACTGGAACCAGCTCGGCCCCAACCAGCCGGACTCGACTGTTGGTTTCATCTTCCGTCACACTGCGACTTACTCTAATGCCTTATGAGTCATGTAAAGTTGTGCTCCCATCATTATGGCTGTTTTTTTTTTTTCTTTTACACAACGCATATGATCTGAATCAGTTTCTACCATTACGACCACATTGTACTGGGTAGCGCCAAACCTGGTTATCAACCTGAACCATTTTGCAAACTGACTCAAACTATTCTGAAGCTTAGAACCCTTGAACCCAACTCAAACTACTGCAAAACCAACTCCAGTCCCACAGTGACCAGTTCAGGACTGGTTCTCAACATAACTAGCTGCAGAATCAAACCAGTTCATACCAACTCAGACTACTTCCAGAACCAATTCAGATGTGGTCTACACCAGTTCAGAACATGCCGCACCACCAGTTAAAATGAGCCTCAACCAGTACTAAACCAGTTGATGCACAGCAAACCCATTGAAACCAGTTCCGAACCAACCATAACCAGTTTACGTGTTAGCAATCCCAGTTCTAACCAGCTCAGAACCGCCTTCGGACCGCCCCATGTGTCCTAGGACAAATGGAAGTAATTTTAAAACCTCTCTAAACCAGTTAAGAACCAGGACAGACCAGTTTAGACTTAACTAGTTCAGTTCTGACTGGAACTAGTAGAGAGATAACCCGAAGTGAACCAGATAGTTTCTGCTGTTGTCCATGTTTGTCAGTATCACTGCGTCAGTTCTTCAGGTTTCTGCTGCACTCAAGGAGCTACAAATCCTCCCACTACCACAGAGTCCTGGATCCTGGTGGATTCAAAGGTGGTGGACAGAAATGTAAGAATGTTCCTGTTAAAGCTATAAAGTCACCTTAAACGATGTTCAGCTGTTTGTGTTGATGTTTGTTCAGAAGCTTCTTCTTCTTCTCGGTGTGTTCAGCTGGTCTTGTTGCTCTGAGGTTTCTCTTGTTTGTGGACGCTCTGCTGTCTGAACACAGGCCTTTCTAAAGCTCTTAATAAACCAAGTGAATTTCTGTTTGTGGAAAAACATCTCGGACTCTGTTTTCAGTGAGTGTGTTGTAACCAGACGACCACCAGTTAAATGTTACGGCATTGAAAACAGGTTATGATCAGACATAAAGAACTCGAGGCAAATCAGGGTTTTTGGTTTAACTCACCAAGATTTTTTGGTCAATTCATTTTACCAAGGACTGGAGCCACAGTCTGAGGAGACTGAGGCCTCGTCCACACGTAGCAGGTATCTCACAAAACAAACATATTGTTGTACGATGTTTCCTGTCATCCACACGGAAACTCAGATTTAAAAACAATTCTTTCAAAAACCTCCGTCCAAAGTGAAGATCTGTAAATCCTCCGTTTATGCGTCTGTATGTGGACGTCAATAACCGGGTTTTAGGTTTCATAATATCACTGCCTGCGACAAAATATGTTTTTCACATCACATATGCGACCTGTGTTTACATTTGGAAACAGCGTGGACGCCCTCAGAACTGTGTTGGCGTTGTCTCTGGTCCAGGCCCAGATACCGCTCCACGTACAAGAACACAGGTGAAGGACGGCGGTAAGGACGGTTATTTTCCGCCACCTTGCCATTCTACGCCCGAGGCAGGTTCTCCGTCAAAGACACCAACGCCAGTTTTGGGTCAGACCGGGACGCACTGCCAGCTGGTGGGAGAACTTTGAGATGGAAATCGTGCTCCAGGAGGAATGGCGTGACCATTTCCGTATGTCCTGGTTGTTGCTCCTGTCGTCGGAGTTCTTACATCCTCACGTAGAACATGAATGTGCTGAACAACGCACTAATGCGGTTAGGTGTGGATGAATTCTTTTCCAAAAATGAGGTTGTGTGTAGGTTAGTTTTTTTCTAGATGGAGGGGGCAGAATATTCAGTTTTACAAAAACCCTGCTACATGTGGACAAGGCCTTAAAATTTTGTTGTTGGAAAGACTCAACCACAACCACAAATGACTCAAAACAACTACAAAATGACCACAAAGAGACAGAACTGGTACAAAATGACTGCCCACATAGGAATTTTCAAAATGCCCAGAAAGAGATGCGAGCAAACCACAACAAGAGAAAGCCGTTGCAAAACAGATGCAAATCCACTACATGAAGATGTGCATCAGCCAGAATAAGACAGAACTTATGCAAAATGACTGCAAAGTTACTCAAAATATCCAGGAAGGGATGTAAACAGACCGAATCAAGACAGAAGAGCTTAAAAATGTGTAAATGAACGACAACAAGACACAACGGAAAAGAGACAAAGTGAACACAAACAGATGCAAAATGAATGTTAAACCACATCAGAGTCTTCTGTGGTCATTTTGTCTTTGTCACTCCGGGGGTCCTGCTCCTCTGGAGGATGGTTTGGGTTGTTGTCTTATAATCCGTCTGTCTGACTCTAATTGTTAGTTGAATAAGAGTCCTTGCAGCATCCATTGAGTAAAAACATCAAAAGTCACTTCACCTGAGAATCCAATGTCTCATAAGCAGTTGAAGTTGTTGAAGAGGTTCAATTTGGTGCTTTATTTGTAATACATTTACATTTTATTACATTTCTAAATTTGGACTTCCTTCCTTTTAGGCAGCATTTATTATCAGTTGGTTGGGAATCTATGGAGCCCCGACATCCCAAACAGATTACATTTTTTCCTGTAGATTTTTTATTTTCACACACACTCAACAGAAACCGCCACAGGACAATGACCATAAACGAAGAGAGAGAAATCTAAAAGAATATAAATGGCACTGAGAAGCAGAAAATACCACAAATCAGAGGACGACTATAGAGCAAGGTCATATCAGAAAAAAAACAAGTTTTATAAATGGAATACTTCGGGATGCTCTTTTGACCAATTCCCACATTTTCGTCATAACTTTTAACAGCTTATTTATATTCATGATACACTTCAGCTGTAAAATAACAACACAAACTGAGAGCAGAATAATTAAAACAGTGTGATTCAGCTCATGAAGTGTCATCAGTAATTCCCCTAAATCTGGTGGGAAATTTTAGCATAAAAAACAAACCCTTGCCACTGCCACAGTTCAGCCCGCTGCCTCACATGGGATTATTTGTTGACTTCCAGGGTCTCTATGGAAGTAAACTCCACATTTTATTCACTGAACACTCACCAGTTTATAGAAAATACCTGTCAGATGTATTCAGAATGTGTTAGTTGCAGCCTCTCTGTGCAGGAGTATAGTTAGAAGATTGACACAAACAAATAAATTAGAAGTTTGATAATGTTAACGTCACAATAAATGAGCTCAATACAAACTCAAATGATTCAGGTCTGAAAGCCACATATAGACTCAGAGTCCCTCCGTGGATTTACGAGATCACTGATGGAGGAGCTGCCACTATTTCAGCTCAACAAAAAAGGTCATGATTCAGAATGTCGTCAAAACG